GACATCCAAGAAAATGGCATATATTTCCAGAAAAGCAGTCAATATAATTTCGATTTTTTCGTTTGCATACCTTATCTTGGTTTCTTTTCTTCTGCTTCAGACATTCTTTTTTTTCCATTCATCACTGGAAAAAATTGTCGGCGGAGTCTTGGCAATATCCGGGCATGCTTTCCTGGTTGCAATAGATTTTCTAGATTTTGCTTAGCTTTATTCAAATCAATAAAACTCGATTATTTAAAGGGCCAGCATCAAGGCTGCGTGCATTTGTATCCGGTGAGTGAGAAAATCGGTTGCGCCAAGCCGCGGCCAATTTTTGGGTTTTTTAGTCTTTAATTTCGGAAAATTTTAAGCATCGATTCCGATGCCTAGCAAAGATTCTTTTAGAGGTGAAGATTCTCCTAGACAAAAGGATCGGTACGACACCAAGGAAAGGGATCGGTACGACACCAAGCAAAGAGATCGGTACGACACCAAGCAAAGAGATCGGTACGACACCAAGGAACGGCATAATAGTGATTCCAGGGAAAGACATCATCATCATTCCAGGGAAAGATACAGGGTTTCAAGACATTCTATTGAAGGTAGAGATCATGAAGATGATGGAAAAAGGGAACGACAACCTAAAGAAAGAAATGCATATTGTTCTTCTTCAAATTCGAGTGGTGATAAATACACAATTTCCAAAGAAGGGCCTAAAGACGTGTCTGCAAGTTATCACTTTGGCTATAAAAGATGCGATCGCGATTTTTCCGATAATTTTAGCAGTAAAAGTTCCGTTAAACTTGGACAAACATCTCGCCCCTTAAAGGATCATTTTCTTTCAAGCGAGCATCATAATTTAGCAAAGATCCAGAAATTAGAAGTAGCAGAAGATGTGGAAGAGGTGGAAGATCTAGGGTCTATTGATCCTGATATGGAGATTATGCGATCAATGGGATTCGGCTCGTTTTCATCCACCAAGGTAGGAGATTTGTATCTAAAAATTAGGGCCAGCATGTTTTGGGAGCCGATGTTTCTGCAGTCTCCACTAGTGCCCCGTTAAAGTACCGACAATACATGAACCGAGTAAATGGGTTCAATAAACCGCTTCAAAACTGACGCTATTTACCATTATCATGATGATGATTTATTATTCATACAAATTCAAAGCACCAAAAAACGAAAAGTTTCAACATCTCTGCAAAAGGAGCCGGTTTCTTTACACAAGGTCTCCTCAATTTTGGAGAACAGTCCAGGCAGTATTTTATCGACCATCTTAGCCATCATTATTCCATGCATTGCAAAGGATCTCTGCACAGAGCTAGCATTAACATAATCCAACGGCTGAATTCCAGTTTTACAGCTACTTTTTATGGTAGAAAAAATGGATTCCGAATCATTTTGTGCATGAATAGTACCATTTTGTTCCAAATATAATGAAGGAATAAAATAAGCTTCGGTCCTATTGTAAATCTTTGATGCATCCTTGAAGCGGTTCCTTTGAAGCGCATTTGGGTCCAATGGGAATGTATCAATGTGCTTGAGCGCTGAAATGGGCGATTCAAAGTTTGAAGTGAGATTTTCAAATAAAGAATAGAAATTAGCAGCGCTAGGCTTTCTAGATAAGGAAGTGACATGTTGCATGGAAATTTTTGAATCAGTTTCTGCATCAAAGACAATATTGTAAATTAGCTTTTGAGCGGTATAAGTAAGATGGACCGGGAAAGAGGGAAGCCGACTATCGGAACTTAAAGAACAATTTCGCGTATCAAATCTAGACATAGAAGCATAAGCGAGGGCTTCTAAACTTCCAAGACCCTTCTGCCCATAATAAATTGAAGAAAATAAATTCATGTCATACACAATATTTTTGTCAAGTCTCAATGGTAAAGTAATCCAAACAGGCAGTGGAGACAGGGGCGAGTGTATATCTAAAGTAAGAGCGGCGTCAGCCGTTAAGGGCATGCCAATCGATTCTTTAGAAGATTGAATCCAATAGGAAATAAGAAGTGACATATTATCATCAATTGGAATGTCAAGCAAAGACATGGTATCAAAAACAAGAAAAAGCGGCACTGAACGAATTAGCATGGAGACTTCTTTCGCAAACATCGAGCAAAAAGAATTTGAATTCCAAAAATCATTTCTTAACGACGGATAGGCTACAACAAAACTGTGGAAAAACAAAAAATCATCAAAAGATGACCGAGAATTAAGAAACTCCGTGCACCTATTGGACAAATACTTTAGAGACTCGAGCTTTAACAGGCCGTTGATTGTGTTAAAGGCAGTAATTTTGAAAACCTCCGCTTTTAAGATGTGGAAATTTATCGCAAGGGTTGCTGCAGAAATGGCAAGCGAATATGGGTTCGTCAAATCAAGTGTACTCAGTTGGCTATTCAGAAAATATTGACAAACATCGTCAGAAAGCAACAGTTTGCTCAACTCGGCTATAGAGCTGCAGGATCGCAAGGCCATGCGCCCTTTTATCAAAATCATAGATAGGACATCGGTTTGTTGCACACCTTTCGAAGGGAAATTAATAGATGAGCGTTGAAAATATTCAGCAAGCTTTGATTGGTTTGACACCGGTATCGACCAGAATCTGGGATTACTTTCATATTCCACTTTCAGTTTTTCCAGACCTTTAAGGTCAAAGAGAAGGGGGGGCAGTTTCTTTGCGCTTGAAAAGCTGCAGCTTATATTTGACTGATTGGCCAGAGAGTGGCCAATTAGCAAGCTGCTGATGTTATTGATAAATGAGTGGATCCCCTTAATTCTGTTCGTATTTCTCAACTTACTAGATTCCCCATTAGATAATTCTTGGATTGAATTTCCAGAAAAAAGACGGGCAACCCAGGAATGTTGAGACATCTTAAACAGAGTTGGTCCAGAGTCGGAATAGCTATTTACCTTGATTTCTTCCCATGGAGACAGATGCCAAAGCGTGTTATTTCGGGGGAAACCAAGTCTCCAAAGCAGATCAAGCTTCGGCCTTCTTCCATATCTAAAATTTGGATGGAACGTTAAATTTGAATCACTTCGAAATATAACTTGCGGCTCACCAAAGGCAGAGGAAGAGTTGATGAACTTTACCTTTTCATCATCCAAAAGCATGCTGTTGTTGAGCATCCTAACCATTGGAAGCACGAAATAAGATTGCGAATCCGGAAAGCTTGCAATATTCTTATGCAGCTCCTTGCTTAATTGGTCCATCGACTCGGGCGTCATAAAACAATTTCCATCAAAGACCATTGTCCACGTGGCATTGATAGTTTTACCCAATTCGATTGCAACATTTCTCCCACCATTGTTGTTAATGGCATACAAGTTTTTGGAATGGTAAATGTGGTCGATGCCGCTTAACCTCGTGGCTGGCGAGAGTCGGAAAAACAATGGGGAATGCAGAAAATCGGTGATCTGGAATTTGTTTACATCAAAAGCAGATCTTTTGTACACCTCATAGTCGAAGGGGATGATTCTGTACGCTTGATTATATTCTGTCAAAAGCGACTCGATTCTTTTTCTTTTGGCGTTATCAAATATTCTATTTAGGATCCAAAACTTGTATATTCGCAATGAGGAAAAATCTGATTCGTGTTCCAATACGAACTTTAGATTTAGAATTGTCTGCTCATGGGTATGTCTTGGGGGGAGATCGTTTCCAATAATCCGGATATAAATAGCAAATATATTTTCATTTGGGATCAAGTTCCACTTCATGGAAGAAAAGTGTCCAAAAGAATATTGTTGTACGCCCTTAGCCCCATACAATAACACGATAAACAGGATGCTTGAGATCTTGGGAAAAAGACCAAAAAGACTGTCTTTCTTTGACATGGATACTAAAAAATTATCCCTACCAATAAATAATTACGGAGCCTCAAAATCACGTCGACACATAATGTTTTGATCAATGGGAGACCAAAAGGGAAGTCTCCGTTCAATTGGCCCCAAGAGCCGAAACCAGACCAAAAGTAACACTCCGAGTTTGTAATTTTGAAAATGCAATCTTCTGACCTTGGTATGCTCTCAAATTTACATTTTTGATTTATAGAAGAGGCGCTGGATGACGAGTTCTATAGCCTATCTGCAGACCAGGATACTTGCAAGCTTTCCTTTGAGAATGACGACATCCAGGAGAATAAATCAGAGTCGTTGAATGATAACCATCATACGCTGTCTTCTCTGTGTCAGGAGATAAGTCATGTTTCGAATTTTAAAAACTCAAATTTCGCGAACTTCTTACAAGAATGCTCCATCAGGCAAGATGATGAATTCTCTTGGCTCGAAGAAGAGCACCGTGACGAGGAAGAGGCACATGGGCCCCCCAAAAGAAAGGCATTTCACTTTTATTTTTATTTGAAGGGAAAATCAAAGAAGAAAAAAAGAGATGATGATGTCGACATTTCGTCGTCATCGACGCCATATTTGTCTGCTGAATGTTCTAAAATAATGTGCCAAGCTAACAGTAATTTTGTATCGAAAAACTATCCGGCTGCCATTGATGGATATTTAAATGTCATACGGATAGCGCCCAATACGCACGAGGCATATTCTACGCTTGGGATTATTTACAAAGAAATGGGGGAGTCCATCAAGGCATTCAATTATGCCCTGATCTCGCTTCATCTTTCTGAAAGCGACTCTTTGGATGGATCGTGTTGGCGCAAATTGGCGCTCGAAGCCATCTCCCTTTCGCTATCTACCGAGGCAATCTATTGCTTTAATAGAGCCATTAGGCGGGATTGGAAAGATATTTCTTCAATTTGGATAAGGATGCTTTTATTTCATGAAAGAAGGGACCGTCGAAGGGTGGCAGACAGCTGTGTCTTGCTTTTGAAAAGCTCTCCATTTCATCCTTTAATTTTAAGGCTGTTGATTCACATTCATTTAGCCCTCAATGAGCCTATAAGGTTAGTAGGGATCTTGGAAAGCATGCTGTTGACTTCTTCTGCAAGCATCTCACGTTGGACTTATTTCCACTTGAGATTTTTATGCCGTCTTTATGTCCACCTGAATGACTATGGAAGATTATTTTCGGCTTTACCCGGAGTCATCATTTGGATGAGAAAATCGTTTTCGGACTTTCCTTGCTCGCCATTGAAAGAAGATGACCCTGTGAGCGCGATAATCTGTAAAGAATCCATTAATTATGAAGTTGGAACAATGTTTTGCGAGTTGAACTCTCTTTGTTCGCCATTTGATTCCATATTCCATGGTTCGTTAGTCAATGATCTTCCGATCTCGACAAGTGTCTCTGAAGATGGCAGTTTGAACATTTTCGCATACGAGCAACAGATTCTAAGCAAAGAAGACCGGTCTCTACGACCTGTCGACGTAGAGGCGGAGAAAGGAGAGCTTATACTGGCCGATCCATTGGCTTATCGTTCAAGCTGGTTCGATTACATGCCTATGGATATTCAAGCCTATTACTTATCATCAGCCATATATGCTAACATGAACCATTACTTTGAGGTAGCCATTGCATATTTACTTTTAGACACTTTGGAAAGTGTTCAAGTCAAAATACGAGTCATCCTCACCAGAAGTAATATCTCGTTTAGCTATCGAATATGGAAAGTCAAAATTCGAGCTCCATGATCTGGTTGGAGCTGCCAATCTTTTTACTTCTGTTTCGGCAGAATCTGATCAATACATTTCTGCCCAATGCTATCTTGCAAGATCTTATCGCCAACTTGATATGGAGCCGGAGGCAATTCGTATTTTCAGCTCCATATTATCACTGGATCCTCTTTGCGACGATGCAAATGTTTCCTTGGCTGAAATCTATGCATCTCATGGCGACTCTTTGAGATCACAATTCCATGCTGCAAAAGTTGCCTCTCTACTTAACCCTCAAGACATCGGTGGGGGCAAAGATACATCTGGTTGTTTAAAAATTTCGGTTGCCGAATTATTTCGGAAATTATCGCATATTGAAGAGGAGAGCCCTGAAACCGAAGACGAGGATTCTCTAAATCTGCCCAGCCAAGATGAAGCAAAAGGATCCCTTATAGCCTCGTTTCCTAATAGAAGCGATTCAAGGCGTCCCAGAAGACCGCGTATTTCGGCGCTCAATACCAGTCTTTTGAAATGCTCCAAACCCATTTATGTGTTTGAGAGCATAGTTCCCTTTCGAATTGGAGATCAAAACTTCCCATTTGTCAGGGCAATCTCTTACACCAGATATGATGAACAGGGCTGCAAGCAAGTAAGACTGCTTTACAAACGATCTCTGCTTCTTTTGGCGTCCGTGTCAAAGAACGAGTTTCTGATGGCAGCTGGTCTTTTGGTTTCCGACTTTATCAACAATGGCCATTTCTATCGAGAAGGCCATGGGGAATTGAGGACATTTTCGTCGCGTTCGTTGCGTAAGGTCAGAAAGGATCTAGCTTTGAATGTATACCAGGATCCAGAGATCTTCACCATCATCCATGCACTTTCTAGAGACATTTGCCCTGAGGAAGGTAACCGAGGACTCCGAGAAACCCTTTTACAGGCCTGCCATGGACTGACCGTTCAGGAGTGGTTTGACATCATTTTCAAGGTTTCCATGCTTTTGATACCCAATGTAGTTTTCTAAAACGGCCGTTGAATTAAGCGACCACAAGTCGGCTCTCGCAGCGTTGGTTCATGCTTCATCGTCAAATATTTTCTATTATCGGAACGAATACAAGCTGATTCTTCTGTGTTCCATCCTTACCATCGGGTATCTTACAAACGACATTCATGCTGTCGGGAAAATCATTCGTGTCTTTTTGTTCTTGAACCCCAGATCGACATCCTATGACTACTTGTGCTCGTATTTTTTGTTGTCCCTGGGCCTGTTTTCGCACGACTTGGTGACCAACGCAAGCAATTTGAAGTTTTTCCTTCGAAATGAAAAACGGCCAGTCATCTCGGCCCATTGCTCATCTTTTGCTGCCACCTTGTGTGCACACTCCTATTTGGCATCAAAGAGTTATGGAGATGCTCTTATTTACTATGAAAAAGCTCTACAAAACGCCCCAAACCATCCTTTGTTGCTATTGTGCATTGCAACGACCCATCTGCTCAAATCCATACAAAGGGTCTCTCCAAATCCACAGGCCCAATTTCTGCAAGTACGAGGGGATGCATGATCACTAATTATTAGGGTCTTTCTTTCATGATGAAATATGCTGCAATTAGAACCGCCAGCACTCCAATAGAGGTAGCCTATAATCTTGGACGGTTTTTTGACCATGTTGGGATGCACTCCCGCTCTGTATTTTACTATGAAAAGGCGCTAAATTTAGCGCCCATTTGCTCCGACAACCACATCACGCTTTTTTATGCGAGGCAAAATTTAAGTTTGGCTTATTTGCGCTCTGGGAACATTAAATTGGCTTCTAATTGCATTAAACAAAATATTTTTTAAAATGCATACAATTTTCACCACCAAATTTAAACTCATTGTTTCTGCTGCCACCTGTTCAAGACTGAACGATGCTGTCAAATTCTATGCAATCTTGAGGGAGATCAACATTGAGGGCATGAAAGCACAGTACCTTCAAATCCCCCATTCCAAGCCTCCAAGCACGGTTTTCATCACTGCAAGGACAATTTTTGGCAACCTGTCGGCCAGGAATGTCCTATCAAACGCCTTTTTGCCGCAAAATTACCCGAGCTCCGTATTTCCTCAGTATATGCCCTTTATAAAATGGCTATTCTTTCAAAATGTTATGGGCGCCGCCATCTGCGGTATTTAATGTTGCTAACAATAGTGATGTCGACTCAGTCTCTTTTGTTGGCCATTGGACTTGGTGCGTCCAGCTCGTTAAAAGTTGCAGCCACGTTCCAATGGGTCATAAAGGATGCCCTTGGTCAAATAGGCGGCATTTTGGCGGCCGGGGTTTTGGGTAATTTTGCCCCACATATTTGATAGGGAAAAGGTTTGATTTGGATACAAAACGGCTTCGGTTCCTGTGCGTTTTGGGCCTGGGTGTGGCTAGCTTTGTCGAAATTTCCACGCTATATTGGCCATCGTATTTCCTAGTCTTAGGAGGCTGTGCAAACTTCAGTATTTCCTTGCTGTTTTATTGTAGTAAAAAATATTTGTTGGGTAATCTCATCGGCAACAAGGGCGTCCATTTTGAGGGCATTTTCGAGGGAAGAAAATCTTGGCGATCTGACTGCCAAGTATGCATCCCAATCTACAGCGGCCAGTTTACTGGGAACTGGTCTTGGGCTCGGCGTCTCTCATTTGTTTTCACTATCGACCTTTTCAAGTTTCTCGCTAACTTATGTCCCTTTCAGCATTGGGCTTTTATGTGGACTCTACAAAACAACCCTGTATATTAGAGTGACCAACTTGAAATTTGCGAGTCTGGTGTGCATTTTTTGTGATTTTGAACGGCAGGCCAAAACGTCTGTGTCAGATGATTTGCATGTGCTTCACGGCTTTTTAAAAAATTACAATTTAATTTCTCCAGATTCAATCCACAACTTTCAATTGGCTCCTCCACAAAGGCTTTGTATAAACTACCCCATTTCGAATCTTGATGGGTTGTCACAAGATATCTGCATTTTTGACTCGGATTCTTTTTTGCTTTGCAAGCATCTGTACTCTTCAAAAACATATTTATGGATTAAAGAGCACGCATCGTTTCGGCAAGTGGTGGAATCTGTGGTGTACTCGCTCTTCTTTGATGCATGGAACTTTGCGCCCGATGTTTCCCACATTCTGGTCAGGTTATTTGTACAAAAACTTGTGACAGAATCTTTTTGGAACCTGGAGTCTTTTGTCCCGCTATCGCCTGAGCTGAGTCAAATATGTTTTCTAAAATCTATTGGCTAATCTCAATTATGTTAATTTTGAACGCAATTATTTCACTATTGCTAATTTTTAAAATTATGACAAATAATTTTGAATTTAATTTAACGCACCTCAATGGAGGGGCGGCTTGATTAAAAGCTATTAGATTTTATTTTAATAAAGCTAGTTAGGCATGCCTTTGTGAAGCATTGAAAATCTGAAAGCTCAAGATGTCAGTGGCATTAGTTACAATTATTGTCCGAATGAAGCGCACAAATAAACTCAAATATGATTTGGTTTGGATCGGGATTCATTTTTGAATAGTGGTCCATAGCTACGCGCAAAAGCGAAGATTTTGAGGCAGTCGGACGAATAGATAATTTATAAACTTTCCTGTATCTACGAAGAGCTTCTAAATTTAGAAACTCAATAGGTTGCGGGTACTTCTTTTTATACAAATTTGCAGATTTCCTTTTTGGCAAGGCAAAGTCTGAGGTTCCTGAGGCCCTTTGCTGTCGAGGCGAAAGCATTTGAGAAGGATATCCCTTAAGTGCAGACGATAACTCTGGAGTTTGATGATGGCGTTCAGATTGTCTTCGTACTAATGTCCCTTCAGATAGCTTTTTTAGCAATGCTCGTTTTCCAAGAGGACTAGGCTTTTTCTTTTTAAAGCTGTTATATTCAGATAGCAGTACAAACGAGGAAGCTGATGAATTGAGAGAAGTGGAGGAAGCAGATGAAGAAGATGCCGATGATGGCGACGATGGTGAAATTTGCGGTGATAGTGTTGCTGATAAGGATGTTGTCTCGTTTTGATCTTCAAATTTGTTTGGCAATTTTACAGGTGCCTCTTGAAAAAGATCAGTTTTATCACTTTCGTGCGTTATTTTACACTTATCCGGCTCGTTTTGCGAAAATTCAGAGCCTGGTTTTTCAGTCGCTAACGCAATGAAATTTCGAGCTGCTGATTCTCTATTAGCAAGTAGCTCATTTAAATTAGGAGATGTCGACCTTGAATCAGATGGAGAAGTGATAGATATGTGTTTCCCATAATGCGAAATTATCTCTGCAGATGGAGAAAATGCTTCGGGTTGTCGAAAGGATTCCATTGGATGACAATGCTCATCTGCTACAAATTCGGACCTTATATTTGAATAGTCTTTTGTTTTAAACGTGATCTTCGTTGCCATCTTATTTGTGATATTTTCTTTATAATAAAAGTACAAGGATTTAATGCCAATTTACGGTCTTCTTCACGGATAAGAATCAATTGAAAATATGTTGTTAAGATGAGTATGTAAAATAATAATTGGTCAAGCTTGGTATTCACATTCGCACCTCAATTATTGGCTGATTAGAAATGATTGTGATTTGATTACAACATTTCAACTAGCCATGAATTAATTTATGTGGTGCTTTTTTAGATTTAAAAATACTTTACTTGGATAAATTTTACATGCATCGGAACAAAAAATGGCACTGCAAGACACGGCAGGGGGATTTTCATTTTAGCGGGGCTACTTTGGAATTATTGAGTTTCAATGCTTTGCGGGTTTCTTCGACACGATTGCAATTGCACGGAGATTTGATGCAAGAGACACATTTTTTTGCGTAACTCTTGTTCTTTCCAAGAATCTTTGCCCAAAACGATGTGTGTTTGGGCTTACACGGAGACTGCGAGCTATTTACATCCTCTATGCGATCAAAAATTACACAAGAGGACGAATCCGTTTTATCCTCTGCGCCCTGTTCACTTTTGTCGTGTAGCAGGAAATTTTCAAAGGTCTTTTTGCCTTCCATTCTTTTTCGATGGAGCCATTCATAGTGGAGATGATATAAATTTTTGATGGGCGATCTTTGATTGTTTTTGAATTCATGGTAGTATTCGTATTTTGAATAGCCCAGTGAAATTAGCTCTTGTAGAGTTTCTTCATCCAAAACGTCGAGTATGTTTGGGCGGTAGGGGACACCAGAGACTGGGCCGTATTTGTAGCCCAGAATCGTCCAAGGATGGTTTTTGATTTCCTCCAGGGTGGCTCTTCGCCGAGGGTGAATGTCTAGCATGCGAGAGAGCAGCGAAATTGCATCGGATGACAAGTAAAAAGGTGTCCCATAGCTTCCTTTGGCAATGGACGCATACAAATCCGTAATGGTGGCACCTTGAAAGGGCAATCCTCCAGTAATCATCATATAAAGAATGACGCCCAAAGACCATACATCGACCTCGGGCCCCACATATTCAATGCCTTGAGTCATTTCGGGGGCAGCGTAGAAAGGAGACCCGCAAAAGGTATTGAGAAATCCATGCTCATTCCATGTATTTCCAAAGCCAAAATCAATCAACTTGACCGTCCTGCAATCAGCATCCTTCATCAGCAGGTTTTCGGGCTTCAAATCGCGATGAACAATGCTTGACTACATGGGTTATGATGGCCATCTTGTGCCTACCTCGTGGCAATAATCGACGGCGGAAACTATTTGCCTGAAAAAAGACCTTGCCTCAAGTTCAGATAATTTCCCTTTCGACGTAATATAGTCATGAAGCTCCCCTTTGGTGCAGTGTTCCATGATGATGTAAGTGGTCGGCTTGGTCTCCACGATATCTATGATTTTGACAATATTTGGGTGGTGCAATATTTTTAAAAGCCTAAGCTCTCTCGACACATTTTTCTTTTCCCTCGAGCTCTTGAGGGCGGTCATATCGATCCTTTTTATGGCAAACTAAACAATCAGATTGCAATGGTTACATATTCTCCAGAATTTCTATGTTTGACCAGATAGACTTTTCCAAACGTGCCCTTGCCGAGCTCTGACACAATTTCATAGTAAATGTCTATGACTGGCTCTCCGAAGGCTTTGAAGAATGGAGATGCCGTTTCTGTGAGGAAATATGAGGCCGGATGAAGCGATTCCAGCTTTTCCTCGATTTTTAACGGCACATTTTTAATGAGGTCCCTGTTTTTCCGCGGTGGGCTTTGGGGTGAAGAGGGTGCGGCCAAATTTTGGTCCCTAATGGATCTCTCAATCCTTTGGGCAAGTGTTGAGGGTTGGGTTAGCGAGGGGTTGACTGTTTTCATCGAGCAGATATGCCAAAGTGGTGCTTCCAGATATTTTAGGCTGTCTCTAGCTTACGACGAAATTCGCTTTTGGCCATAGGCTCATTTTCGTTGCTAAGATGAGGAGTAACCGAATTAAATTTAGGGAAAAGCGTGCGACATTCTAAAGTAGGAATTGAAAATTGAATTGCAATTTTGAAGTGCGTAAATTGGGGTTCCTTTGGGCCCATTCAAGATTGCAATGCATGAAGCAGATAATAAGGCAAATCTGTAGGGGGACATCCAGACTGGTGCCGGCCACTCATCATGTAATTTAAAATGGCTGCATTTGTAAATCGGTGTATTTGTAAATGGCTGCATTTGTAAATGGCTGCATTAAATTTAGTCTTGATGTGAAATTGATAGTTTGATTTTTTCAAATTAACCATGCAATCCCTTAATTTGTTTTCTTTTGTGTGCCTTCTCTTCGTTGTGTTGCAATTGGCAGTTTCCGTTGCGACACAATTGACTCCAAACTTTGAAATCGTTGTTACCAGGGATGGCCTTCAGTCAGCCAGCCAAAGGTCGGTGTTTTGTTGTCTTATTTCGTAGAATTTCGAATTCCAAAATTTCCCAGCATCTGCTGGACCTCCAGGAAAAAAACATGCTAAAACTTACCATTGATTCGTTTTCTGTCCCCGACGTGCCAAAGAAGGATACCGTCTTCCATTACATCTGTGCACTTCGCGGCGAGCATGTTTTCAAATGTTTTCCCGGGACCCTGGAAAGCAAAAAGTATGCGTTTACAATTGTAAGATGACGAGCCGGCATTAACTTATCATCTTAGGATCCGGTGAAAGAATACTTTGTGTCTGGATCTTTTAATTTGGTGCTGTACTCCTCCTTCATCTCCATGCAGGACGGAAAGTCTCACATTTCGAATCAGTTCCAAACGGATCTTGGCAGGTTGGATATTTCTCGGAAAGCAGACCAAGCTACAATCAATGCCGACAGATTGTCTATGTTGGGGCCGAACGCATGGAGAGACTCGTGTGGCCCGCTTCCAGAAGTTGTATCAAGCGGAGAGCCAAAGTCCCCCCCAAAAGCAAGCACCTTGCTTTCTTTTGTTTTTGTGTTTTTAGTGATCGTTGTGCCTTGGGTTTCGCTACTTTATTTGGTAAGACGCGACCATCTTTTATGTTCTCGCTAGTGGAGGCAATCGAACATTAACATGCACGGGATCTTCGATTTTTCGGCTCTTGGCTTTGTGTTTTTCCTTTCGTTTTTGGCATCCATTCTTTCACTGATGCTTGTCCTAGTCATCAATTGGCTATGGCTGGATATCTTCACCACCTTAAAATACCTTTCGTTGTCAAGTTTTATTACAGCCTTTTCTGTGATCGGCATGGCATGCTCCGCATAAGTCATCAATAAACTAGATTACACTTGACTCTGATTATCGACATACTTATTCACCAGATCTAGTAGACTCTCCGAGTTGGCTTGATTTTTATTTGAGGAGACAAGTCTTTTGCCTCTTGATCGCGATTTTGCGAGGTTGACACCAAAGCCCGCAGAAGTAGAGTTCATGTCCAGATGATCGCCCTCATCACATTGATCATCGGAAGACGATGACGATGTTATTCTTAATTTATACTCATCCTCAGGTGTGAATGGAGCAGACTCTGATCCTGCAAGAATAGAAAGCCCAATATTTCTTATGGGAGACGTAACTGATAAGCCGCTTTGCGGATTTTTCGGCTTTGCATACGAGCCGAGTGGCGGCAGTTGCCTTGCCGGTTGCTTTTTAAGGGTCTTGGCACCGAAATCAAGGAGCCGGCTAAGATACATCGTACCAGAGGGACCAGGTGTCCATTCGGGAAACTTTTCTTTGAAGTTGAGAAAGGATTTCTCCATCTTTCCATGCTCAGATTGAAAGTAGTGCATGTTTTGATTCTTTTTCGGCTCCGTTACGCATCCATACTAAAATTTAGACCCATTATGGCGGCAAAAACTTACCTTGGGATTTCCATTTTTATAGAAATCAAAGAGGGCAAAAGAGCAAACATACCCGAGGCCGTCCACATGTACAGAAAAGTCCTTGAAAAAGCTAATGATTGCGGTTGAGCATTTTGGAAGCGAAAAGCACATGATGATGGGCGTCAAAACGATGCTTAGCATTTCGTGCAAAAAGATCGCAATTTTGTAGTGAAATAGCGACGAAAACTCGTTTCTGACCGTTTTGGTGTGAAGCGCATTTTTCCAGTGCAACGGAAGGTACCTCAAGTGGAATGTCACTTTGTTGAGCAGCTCCTCTGGCTTGTATATGATTGTTTCGTCGGGAATCAAATACCTGCAAAAGGCAACAAAGACACCCAATACACCGATATACCAAAGCATTGTTCTTCCCGTGGTGACTTCCAAATCCAATAAAAGGTCTTCCACCAAAAGACCCCATAATATCAACACAAAGGCCAAAGATCCGGCGACAAAGCCAAAAAATCTAGTGTTTCAATATTGCAACGCAATTACTTGGCGGCAATTGCGACAAGATGGCCCGGGTACAACGAAGTGTATGTTTTTGCCGCCGAAAGGCTTTGATTGATGCGCTCATCAAAGAACGATTGCAGCTCATTCAACTCCCGAAATTGCCATAGCGCATAGGGGGTGTATTGGCGCGTTCCAAGCATTTTTGGATTGTGGTACAATTCCTAAAAGATAAAGCGCACCACAAGTGACTACTTCTCCATAGCGAAAAATGAAATATACGCCCAAAAAGGCCAAGATGAACGGGCTTGCCAATAAGTTCATAAATGCCATGATGACAAAGCGCTTCCGAAGCTCCAGGGCCAGCTCGCTTACTTGCACGTTTTCGACAAACTTTTTTCTTATGTGGCCGTTTGAATCGAAAACAAACTGAAGAATGCAAATGGACAAGTTGATTTCCATCGTTTTGGTGAGCAGCGGCTGCGTACCAAAAACGACCGGAAATGGTGGATGAAGGTCCAAAATGTTCTTGTTCAGCAAAGAAAGAAAGTAGTTTTCCTTGCGTAATATCCTGTTTGCGATAACTAGCGTGTGAGATACACCAACGTGCGGTACCATGCGCATCTAGCTGCATTCCGGAAGGATCCAGCGGGAATTTGTCGTTTACCTCGATGACCTTTTTAATGATGTCTTGGATGGAAAGCGTTGCGAGGTCGCGATCTGGGATGTCCAGAAGATGAGTATATATGTCCCGTATCTTTACCAAGTCATTATACTCAAAGACGAGCTTCAGAATCTGCCAAATCCAATAGCTGATGAAGATGACAAAACATATGCCCCAAAAGAAAGAGATGTTGAGCATCCTATTGAGATGGATGAAATTTATCAATTTCCGATGGCGTATGTCGGAGCTGGAATCCGGGTTCAACAGACACTTATAATCAATGCAATTGAGCAAAAACAGGAAGAAGATCACAATGAACCCAATGGTGAACACAGAGCAGATGCGCTGGAAAAGCATCACCTTAAAGCCCTTGCCCTTGTAATAGTCGTATATCTAGGGATATGCAGGCAATCTTAACCTGGATCAGCAACTGGTCGATGTTCAAGGTACTTTGCCACAATTGCAGGGCCTTTTTTCTTCCAATGCTCGCATGCGTTGCATCGATCGCATCTCCGTGCTGCACGTTCGCCGCATCTGCATTTGCAAGAAGCCTCTTGGAATGGTAAGGCACCGATTTTGGCGACCTTTTATTTTTCAAGTTCTTCATTTCAACGAGCAGAGACGAGGAAAGTATATCGTCGTTCGAATTTCCGGCAAAGTAGTTGGCCGGGTTGTTCTGGTTTAGAGGCGTTGTCTCCGAGATAAAATCAAAGTTAATGGAGGAAGAATCAGAGTCCTCGTTAAAGGAGGCACCGTTGTGCATTCAGTTGGAAATTACAAAATTGTAATCAGCCGCAATTGGTAGAATACATCCATCAAAACCATCAAAATAAGTTTTCTTTGATCATAAGTGGAGCTTATTTAAAATTAATTTTAAATGCCTCATATTTCGCCAAAGACCATCATCATCTTGGGGGGCAGTGGATTCCTTGGAAGACACATTTGCGAGCTTGGGTCGTCCCTTGGCCACAAGATGATCTCGTTGTCCAGATCTGGAGGCCCCGACACATCTTGTGCCGCAAATGCGGTCGAATGGAGGAAATTTGACATTTTCGATGCAATGCCCGACTCGTGTGTCAATGTCGACCAGCTGGATGCCGGCGTGAAAGACATCTTTTCCAATGCCGATGCGGTGATCCATTCGATGGGCATTTTGTTTGAACCCAGCTTCTTTGACTACAAAAAGATCCTCAATTGCAATGCCTCACAACTGACATCTACTAAAGACACCTATGAGCTAATAAATAGAGATTCGGCGCTCAAACTTGCCATGCTTGCATACCAGTTTCCATCTATAAAGACGTTTGCGTTTGTATCGGCGTGTCATGCTTCTTTCCCCTTCATCCCAGCGCGGTATCTTTCCGCAAAAATTGAGGCAGAAAAGGGAGTCTCCTCATTAGACCGCTTCAGGACCTTGATATTCAGACCTGGAATGATATCTTCGCCAGATCGACCAATAACTGCCGTCGCATCCTCTCTTTCAACATTGTTTCGTTCGATTCCCATATTACCAGATATGTGCCCAAGTTGGGCTAAGGCTGAACCTTTGCCTGCCACCGCCGTGGCAAAGGCCATCATATGCGCAATCGATGCTGATGGAACGACGCCCAGTACCGAAATCTTTGAAATCGACGATATCAAGCAAGATGTTGGCCATTAATTTACGTTGTTTTATTTTTTAAATACAAATATTGAGATCGATCGCCAGCCGCGTTCCTCACTTAGTGTGGGGGTGGGGCGAGGGGTTAGGAGGGTTATGCTATTTTTGTTCTCTTTGTAAGCGTATCGGCTCCTTCTGGCCGGCATTCCGAGGCATTTTTTACAGTTTCAACGTTCGAGGCTGCTAATGTCTCCGACTGTGCAGCATTCGCAGCCGCCGAGCTTAGCAAACCTGGTCTGGGGAAGTTTTTGAAAACTTCATTAGGCAAATTGGATCTAAAATTAGCATATTAGGAGGGCAAGGGGGAACCTTTTAATTTCGCGAATGTACAACTTCATTTCGGAGTCATATTTATCCCAACCAAGACAGAGCCTCTGGAACTCCGCAACGGGGATGGAAAGATTGAGTTTTCTTGATCCGACGTCTTGAGCTAAAAGTAACATAAACCATCAAATGGCATACCATTTGGGGGTTGGATCTCTAATGCTATATAAAAGGAGATAGTAAAGGTAGGCTCCGTGGTTGTTTCTTTATTGACATCCTGTTGATCGGGTTGAGGCAAATATTGCAGATATTTAAAAACATGTTCGTCTGGCTGTAGATAAAGCGTCTTCTCAAAACCCTCGGGATAAGGAGGTGCAGAAACAAGCGCCATCACTTGCTCCAATTTGAGAACAAGTAAGCGGATTTTGGACTCCACAAATCCGCTCCACATTTTGAATTTTTCCTGGTCTTTACATACCCCGACGATTTGGATAAAATGCCGAAAGCGAGCAAAGAAATCGGAGGGTGCAAATAGGTCTGCCCACGTTGCGTGGCCATTCTCGATTTCGATGCAAATTTTTGCGCCTGCGAAATGACGATTTGAAAAGCGTACCTCTTTCTAGCTCCGCAATCATCACTCTTAGCGTAGAGTTGCTAACGTTGTGTGTGGAGCACATGGAAGGATATGCTGGAGTTATTATTGGCATTCGATGGTTGCGATCAGATGGATTTACCTTTGGTTAAAAGGTAAACATACCCTTGGGTTCCAGACCCTCATGTTCAAGTGGTAATCCTCGATATGTTTTAACATAATCGGCTGCGGCCACTTCCAGGAATAATAAATGGCAAAAAACCTAGAAACAACCCTGAATGCAGAAGAGTTTGGATAAAGTTGGCATATTCTTGCCACAAGAATTGCGCAAGCCACACCGCCAACATACCCCATCACGTTGCTGTAAAGAGACCGACCTAAAGTTATGACGGTTCTCTGCATACGTTGAGCCCAAAACTTTACGCACCGAAGAGCAGTATGAAAGGTAGGCACATTTGGGACCAGACTCAATATTTCATCTGTCGTTCGAGAGCCTAAAATGAGCAAAACAGCACGCCACCGTTAATGCTCAATGTGCATTTCTCATCTAGATTTTTCAAAAGAGAATTGTTGAGCAAGTTTAAATTATCTGGAATCGCTTCAAGATGTAATCTACAAAACAACAGGTCAATCTAAAAGCAAAATTATAAACCAAATCAAATGACCATACAGAAATGCCATCAAAAATTAGCTTCATAATTGGAACGTAGGCTTCGGGAACTCGAGTGATCTCGGTCACATCGTTCATGCCCTTGAGCTCTTCAAAAAAGGGCCCAAAGAAATCCTGTCTTGACACGTGTATTGGGACAATACACAGGGTGTCAATGTCGGCGCCTGTTGTGATCGTTAGCAATGTATGGAAAACCTTTCGCATGGACGCCCAAACGATAGGAGCCAAACGTGTATATTTTGCCCCCGGTCTCGGATGCCTCTGATTCGCTCATGCCCTGCTCTACGGCACGTTTTTTCACAAAAGTTCTAACAATGTCATTAAGACGGCCCAGCACGATTTCTCTCTTATAGCCTTCCTCATCTGACTCGAAAAAATCGCTTTCTCGGAGCGTATCAACAAGTAATGATGTGAGCTCGATGTCTCTAGCTGTAGGGAAATTTAGGGTAATCGGTTCTGTTATTCCTAAATGCCTTTGTGAAGATGGCCTATTTCAGGTGAGCATGATATTCATGGGAATACCTCTGGGGAGTTGTCATCAGCAAAAAGTAAATTAATAATCAAAATAAAATATAAATTTCCACAATTTAAACATGAAGCATGTTCCCCAAGTCTGTTTGACGCTGTTGTTTTTCCTGCTGTCTATTTATCTTTTTGTGTGTAGCCTTTTTAGAATTAGAAAAATCTTAAACCATGAGTCTACGATGCTCGGGCCTGAACACAATACCATCTTTGACCAGTTATATTTTGAAATTTATGGAGACCACCAAGAGATAATTTTAAAATTCAACCCCATTAATGCAGCAATGTCCAAATATGGCATGGGTCCTCTTCCTGTGATCGGTGGGTTTAATGATGCTGGAGATTCTTGGCTTCCATCAAGATTCAACAGATCAATTTTGTACCTAATTGATGCCATGAGATTTGATTTTACCATTCCCATTGAGGATGATGCTTTAAGAAATGCAAACTTTCACAATCGCCTACCGGCTCTCAACGACTCTGATGGCAACTTTTCGTTTTACCAATCGATTTTTATCTCCGATCCGCCCACAACATCGCAGCAAAGAGTTACTTCAATAGCGTCTGGCTCATTGCCAAATTTTATCGAGGCCGCCTTTAACTTTGCAATGATCGAAAGCGTTCAAGATAACTTTTTGAAACAGGCAAAAGCCGTGCTCGGGCCAAAAGCAATATATTTCTTTGGAGATTCAATCTGGACTAGCCTATTCCCTTCCATCCTATCAAACGATACCGATAAAACAGGGGCCGAGAGGACTTTGCATGAGTTTGAGCAAAAAAACGTCCATGCCGACTATTCATTCCACATCTACGATTTAGACACCGTCGATAGGAATATCATTAAAAGGGTCGGTCCATTTCTAAACAATCACATGGTCTCCGATACGTCGCCATTTATGCTTATATGTCATTTTCTTGGCGTCGATCATTGCGGCCACAAACATGGGCCAAATTCAAGGTTTATGTCCGATAAATTGGATGAGATAAACTCCTTCATTGATTTTACCAAATCGCGGCTTGATCAGTCTACTCTTTTCTATATTTTTGGCGATCACGGGATGACCGATAACGGAGAGCATGGGGGTTCTTCTTTAAAGGAAATAGCGGCCGGGTTGACAATGTTCTCTCGAAGCCCGTTGAATATCCTCAATTGCATTGAAAAGGCTCTGTATGGTGTTCCTGAGCACTGCCCATTATTTGGTGCGTTGCAACTTGAATTTGAGTCTTTGAAGGGATTTTTTAACAAATTGAACACCATCAAACACTCGACCTTTGTGGAGTATGACTTTCTTGGATTGTCCAAATTCATTCCAATATCATCGAAAATGGACAAGGTTTCTCAAGTGGATTTTGGCGTCAATCTTTGCCTACTAATGGGACTTCCCATCCCATATTCATCTCTTGGAATAGTTATCCCAGAATTATATTTTGCTGTAGACCCGTTTTCGGTTTTTTGTTGTGCCGAAATTTCAACGGTTCAACTGCAAGTTTTATTGAGGAAATTTCGGGTTCAGAATGGTCTGTTTTTATTGAGAGTGGTTCGGTTGAACCTGCTCTCCGTGATTCGCTATTACCGAACGCTAGAATCGCCACAAAGCTTACACACAGGTTCGATTGTTGGTCAAATGATGTCTCAATTTGAGAAATATGAATGCGCTCTTATGGATGATGAGCAAGATTTACACCTGCACTATGAAAAGGTAGAGGACTATATTGTTGCGTATATGACTATGTTATGCACACTAGTTATCAAGGGGCGGTCCTCTTGGGCGCATCAAAATGAATTTATGTTGCTGTTTTCGATTTTTGTTCTTTTTGTTGCCTTGGTTTTCGTACTGACCTTGGGGGTTAAAAGATCGCTTTTAAAGGCCGGTGTGGAGCGGTGGATAAGCATTCCCAACCTTGCCGTGTGCTCGATCCTAGTGTTGCATGGAGTTTCTTACTTTTCCAACAGCTTTATTATTTACGAGTATGACATTGTACGCTATGTGTTGTCCTCTTTTTTTCTTTCCCTGTTTTTTTATAGACTCAAAAGCTCCGCCCGCTTGTCTCTCTCCGATTCATACACCCTTCTAAAGGTGCTTGCTATACTCAAGCTGTCTTACTATTTTGGTGCATGCAGAGAGGAACAGGACCTTTGCCGCTACATTTCAAGAGATTTTGTTGATAGCCTTTCGTCTCAATATCCTGGGCTCGTTGTTTTTGCTTTCTTTCTGTGTTTTGTGGTTTCAATTTCATTGTGCCGAAGATTATTTCCGCTTCCAACGCCACATTTTCTTAACCTCGCTTTTGCTTCGCTTTTGATATTTGTACGATGGACATGCATGCTGATGCTAGAAAATCTCCACTTGCACGACAACCCAAAAACGGCGTACATTTTATCTTTGCTGGTAGCCAACATCCCGAAACTTGTATATTCCAACTTCTTTGTTGGTCTTTTGGTGTTCAGCGCTCTCAAAGTATTGTGTTTTTTGCCAATTGTTTTCATATTGCTCCGGCCTACATTTGGGGCTTTTACTATGCTGTCAACGCTATTTTTGGTGGATGCCCTTGAACTTGCTGATCCCCGACATGTGCCTACAGCATTCAAATGTGTCCTTCTTTTCTTTTCCTCGATTTTTGTCTTTTTTACATCGGGACATCAATTTTCTTTTTCAACCATCCAATGGGAAGTGTCTTTTTATGGCTTTCTTGATCCCAGCCATTGTGTGGCAGGGCTTTTCATCTTCATCAACGTATTTGGGCCTTCCATGCTTGTATATTGTTTATCACACGATCCCAAAGACGATTTGACCAATTTCGATTTTTTTCTTCTGTCCTGCCTGATGCTTATGATTTCTTGCTTCCTATTTAGACAACACTTGATGCTTTGGGCAGTGTTTGCTCCAAAATTAATTTTTATTCTTCTATTTACGCTCGTTTTTGGCGTTCTATCCCTGTTCAAGGACACTTCATTTCTTGCAAAAAGCACCGAACAGCAAGGGGAAATTGGCTATTAGGTCTTTTGTGATCACCTGCTCCATGCTCATATCCTTCCCTATTCCCGTAGAAATGGCCCCCAGTTTTGTGTCGTTTTTTCTTATGATCACTTTTCCCGCAATACGGGAAATCTTGGACAAATCATCTCCAGAAGGCTCTTCACCATTCCAAAATTGATATATGTGTCCAATAAATTTTGATAGCGTAACGCCATGTTCCATCGGCAGATTGTTGATCGTCTTTGTAATAAGCCCTAATCTTATATCTTCCTCCCGGCGGTAGGCAATCGCATCCAATTCCGGATGTGTGATGAATGGAAATAGCGGCTCGGGAAGGTCTGAAAAGAATTTCAACACAATGCCAGCTAAAATGGGTGGGCTCTGCGTTTCAAGAATCGAAGCTAAAACAAAAATAACACAACCGGGCGTTACGTCCCTCAGCTTCAAACTTGATGCCCACCGCATCTACAATGGCGGCATCGGAACATGAACAGAGATAATCATTCAAACTCCCTAGTTTCTCAATTTCAAGGGGATTACCGTTTTTTTCAATTAGCTTAAAGCAAGCCTGGAGTATGGCTGGATATTGTTCATCCCTCCAGGCAAGTAGATCAATCAAAAACACCCCAAACGAAAGGTCTTCAAATTAGACGTCATATCCATACATTTCAATTGCCCAGCAACAGGGTGTTCAATCGTCACCATCTCTGGAATCGTAGATTTAGGTCTACACTTGTCCGAATCAAGAGAAAACTCTCCCAAATCACCGGTTGAGCTCGTTGATGAGCTTGTAAGAAGCTTGAAATTTATCAAGCCGCCGCATACCTTAAACAGGGCATCGACAAAAGAAAATTGATTTTCAACTAATTGGTGATGATTAAATGATTCCCTCAAACCTAGATACTGGAAAGCAGCTTTCAACAGCTGAGATCTTGATTTGCCAAACTCAGAAAGAAGCTTTTCGTTTAGTTGAATCAATCTTACTTGGTTGGCCTTTGCAAGTAGCGCTATTTGGGCTGCCCTTCTCTTTCCAAAACTCCCCATTTGGATACGCAGGTCCTTCTAAACATAATCACCAAGACAATTACTTCTGTTTGCCCCATCATATTTTCGAAATAATTTTCCTTAAATAAGGAGAGCAGCTACGATGAGCATTGGGCAGTACCTTTGACACACAATCTCTTCTTTCGTTAAATTCGGCCTCAGAGTTATTCAAATCAAGCATAATGATATTGATCTGTGTAGCCTGTTCCAAAAGATCGACTCTAAAAAGCTTCAATATTACAACATTAAATTCTTCAAGAAACTTTTTCCTTAGCTCAATGATTGCTTTGTAGGAATCGAAAATCGACGTACACTTTCCATCATCTCTCAAATGCTGATACCTTGAAAGAAGCACACTCATCCCAGATAAGTACTCCAATTCAAGGACATAGCTAAAGGTAAGCTAAAAAATGTACTGATTATTTAAAAAATTATAAAGCTCATTCGTTTCTGGAAGTATGCTGAGATCGATTTCCTGCAAAGTGGAGTCTAAAATATTAATCATTGGTTAAAAATTCGGTGATCAATTTTTTTCCAATTTCACGGTCAGATTGTAAAATTCGGAAAGGACTCGACCCCTGCAATGTGATTGGCCCCTTTAGCGTCCGGTTGAAACTTGGTTCTTTCGGCACCAATGCCAAGCTTCGTTAACTTCTACTGGGTGTGTAAGTTTACCAGTCTTGAAAGTTGCCTGCTATATTTATCAATGTCCCTATGCAGATTCAGTAGTTTCTTTAAATGAGCTCATCAAAACTCTGTTTATATATATATGCATATTGCTCTCTTATGTTGATCTATTCGCTATTCTTTCTGACTTCACAAGTAGCTTGCAGTTCCATCATAAAAGATTCTCATCTAGATCTGCCTTCAAGCAAGGTAATTTCAGGAAATCTGGGCATAATGACAGACGGCAATATGGACAGGGTATTGAATTTATTATTCTTAATCACTAGCTTCTTAAAGAGAGCAAGGTTTCAGGTATCCTTATCTACAGTGAAAATTGCAATTCTTGTCTCACGCCACTAATAGTAAAAATCCTTCACTGATTACTAATAATATAGGAATTTAGCAAGGCTTCGAAAGCTCTGGAAGACGACGAAAAGATAAAAATGTATGCAATGGACAGTAAAACAGGAAAAAAGCTTGTGAAACTTGCGTGTATCGATAAGGTTCCGACTGTATTGGTGCATAGAATTGGCGATGGATTTATTGCTTATCCTCATGACTTTCCGTTTAGTGAAAAAAAATTTGTCGAATTTTTAAGCAAGATAGCATGCATGGGTTATGATGAGGGACAGACGAATTGGCTCAAATATGTTCTTCCCGGTGTCGCTACGTTTGTGATCCCTGTTCCAGCGAATTGTGCCGGCATCACAATTCCCCTAGGTGACCCTACCACCGAGACTAATAGAGCATAAACTAGAGTAAAACCTAACCCTAAATAAACTTCAATGTGTCATCGTTTTATTGAGCAATAAACTTCACAAGATCACCAATACTTTGGCAAGCAAAAGTGGGCCTCTTATCTGTTGGAGTTTCGCTCAACTCTTTTCTGGTTGAATATCCAGAAAACACAAGTAGTGTGTTTATTCCACCCTTATGGCCAAAAACAATATCGGTGTCCAATCGATCTCCAACCATGCAGGTGCGTTTGGGGTCAATATGTAACTTTTCCGTTATGCAGTCAAGGAGTTTGATTGATGGCTTTCCTATTATGGTTGGAATTCGTCCAGATGAATAGATTAGGAACGAGGAGATGCTTCCCGTGCCTGGTAACGAACCGTCTTTCATGACCAATATATTATCCATATTGGTAGTGATGAATTCTGCCTCATACGCACCTTCAATAGTTATTTAAGGTCCTAAAATAGTTACCTGAGGTATCATTAACGTGTCTTAGGTATGTGTTTGCAAGAGCCAGTTTGTCATAGGATAGCTTGGAATCGAGCCCGACAATCACAGCGTCAACCTAAAAAAATATACTTCACAAAACCTTTTCAGGCCTGGCGTCGTAATTTGTCCCATCCTCATTAATGTAGAAGATGCGCAAGTTCGTTAATTCTAGCTCTTCAACGATACCCGGACCTCCCAATACAAATATGTTATTATGTATGGGAGAGATATGAGTAATGTATTGAGCAGCGGCAGAAGTTGAGGTAAAAATGTCATCAATCGAAACATGAGTTAAGCCGAACGAATGGAAAATATCAACAAAATCTCTTCTGGAGTGAAGAGAATTGTTGGAGACAAATATAACTCTTTTTCCGAGTGAATGTAAATATTGCAATGCTTCAACAGAGCCTGGGATAGGTGTTTGATATCCAAGCCATATGACACCTACATTTAATTGAGAGAAATACCATCGCAGTCAAAAAGAAAGGTATCATTTCCATTTATAAATGCTTGGGCCTCTGAAGCAGAAGTAATCTCGATCATCATAAAAATAGATGTTATGTTGATACATCTTTTGATCAAAGGGTAAAAACCCAAGCAATAAATTAAAATTGTAAATTTAACGGGGCATCGGCGTATTTTTGCCAAATCAAACGCAAATTTATGGGTGTAAATAACAGAAGAGATTACTTC